ACAGAGTTTGGAATTTGCCTTCTTACCTGAACATATCTGTTTTGTATGTATGAACTATGTGTGTGGGTGTGTGTGGGTGTATATGTGCACGCGTGCCTGTCTGTATGACATACCTTGCATGTGCCATCAGAGTACAACTTTGTAGAGGTGGCTCATTCTTTCTACATTTAAGTGTGTTCTTGGGGGTAGATAACATACAAGTGATCAAGCTTATGTATCAAGTGAATTTTCCTGAAAACTATCTTCAGCATTGTTTCTCTGTCTGATCATTTTATGTGGAGCTTCTGCTCCACTAACCACATACTGTTATTCTGTTCAGTCCTGTATTTGTGCCCAAGCTCACCTTCCTGTCCACCTGGGGTTCCTATCAGTCCCGTGGTCCTTTTATACTCTCGGATAGGCTTCTCTCAAGCTCCTCTTTCCTTCTTAGTTCCTCTGCATGTGATGGGAGACTTACTCCTTTTCTTCTTTCCCTTTGAGTGCCTATATTACTCTTACAAACCCAACCCACAGGCCTTCTTTAAATAACTTTTCCTCTTGTTTGAAACTATTTCTGAGGTCTGCCTTGTTCACTGTGGTCCAGAATTCTAAATGACCCCCATCTCTTGTTTCCTGAACTCCCTTCTCTATAGCAATTAATTCATTCATTGAACACACACACACACACACACACACACACACACACACACACTCAATGTCACCACTTCCACACCTAAACTTTTCATTTCTTCCCTAACTCACAAGAAAAAAGCTGGATTCCTAGGCTAGGGATGCAGTTCAGTTTGTATAGTGCTTGCCTAGCATGAACAAAGGCTTGAGGTGAATCACCAGCATTGATTCCTGCAACCCTTGCACTCTTGAGGTGAAGGCAGGAGGATTAGAAGCTCACGGTCATTTCTTCTTCCTGTCGATCTCTGACACTCTCTAGTCTTACAGCTTTAAGCCATTTATCTTTTAGCTTGCTTTTCATCATTTCCATCCTCTTTCCTCTTAATGCAGAGAACCATTCTAAGTACCTTCCATTGGATAATGTGTTTTCTGGGGTCACCGTTGCTTCTCTGTGATCTATAACTTCATGTTGCTAGTTCATGCCTAAACCACTTTTACTTGCATTTTTCAAATGTGGTCTTGCCCTGCATATATGCCACTCCACATGCCATAAACAGGTCCGATTTGGCAGAAGTTTCTTTGGCTTTTTTCTGTTTTTAATTGCTGCTCAGTAAATGCTGACTCAGTGAAATACCACAAAGTAATTTGATAATTTAGACTCGATAAGGTTTTTCCACCTTGAAAGAGATTCTTGAGACAATTCCTGATGTTCTTCATAGGCAAGTGGGTCTTCATAGGCAGAGAACACTCAGAATTAGGGTCTTCATCTAAAAAAAGAGGTATAATAACAACAACCATGTTCTCAATTTTGTCAAGATTGAAGCAAGTATTCAAGATTGAAGCAAGTATTTCCTAGAGATCATTCACCGCTGCCAAGCTCCGACTTCGAAAGTTGCTATTTGGGAAATGCCATTTTTCTGAGAGGCAGACTGAACTTCCTAGCCAATCAACCTAGTCCGGCTCTCAGGCTGGTAGAAATCAGAAACAAATGGAACCTAAGACTCTGCGTGCTGCAGAAGCCGGACTTCGGACGGTGGGGGGGGGGGGGGGGGGGCTCCAAAAAATGGCCTTGGCTGACTTCCGGTAGAAGGGCGAAGCGCGCGTCCTTGAAACTACAACTCCCAGTAGTCCTCGCGTTGCGCCCTGGTAGACTCCAGGGGGTGCGGCCGCCATTGTCCACGGCCGACGTAAGGCCTTATCTTGGACTGCAAGGGAGCAGATATTGTTGTCACTGAGAGATAGGCGGGTTTTGGGAACGATCACGGAGAAGCGGCGCCTGCGGGCGGGCTGCTTCAGTACCGGGGTGCGTCGAGGGCCTTGTTTCCTCGCTAACTCAGTGCCCGGTTGCCCTCGACCCTCCGGCTCCGGGGTCTGGGTGCGGGGTTTCTTCAGGCTGGGAAAGGCCGAGGGGGGGCTAGTAGGCCAGGCCTGGAACTTTGTCTCGGTGCAGGAAAAGCCGGACGCCCAGGGCAGCAGCCCCGAGCCAGCGACGCCGCAGCACAGGATCAGGACCGTGGCTGCGGGCCAGGTAAGGCAAGCAGCTCCCTGAAAGCAGTGCCTGGAGTGACCCGCTCGCGGAGGCTAGGAACCGAGATAGTGTCCAGTAGGCTCTCATCCCTTCTCTTCCAAGCAAGGATGCATGAAGGGCGTCAAACCTGACTTAGGAAGGGCCCGAGTTCTTTTCAATTTAAAGCGACACGGAGGTGCGTGTGTTGTGTTGTGTGGGTTTGCGTGCAGGGTTCTTGCAACTTGCTTGCCTTGAGTTTTCGGAGTGTGCGTTTGTAGGATTCTTGCAACTTGCTTGCCTTGAGTTTTGGCTCAAATCCCGGGGTATCTGAGTCTCTATAAGCTTGCTCTTGGTTAGTGCCAAGCATTTCTCTGACACAAAAGTCTCGGCATCCGTGCATTTGTGGAGTCTGACTTTGGAGTTTTGCCTCTGACATGACTCCAGGAGGGAACCGATAGTCTTGAGTCTGGAAGGCCTTGCAGGTGTTTTTTTGTTGTTGTCTTTAACATGTTGACTTTAACATGTACATAGGATACCGCCTTGATGTCTATGGCGATGAAAACAAGGATAAAACAATCACATAGCACTGTTAACATCGTTTAAAAAAACAGATCAATGTTATATATGTGAAATACAGTAATAAAGCGATTTAGTGGATTGGTTGTATATACAGTGTGCTGCTGTAACCATCCCCTTTCCGGAACTTTTCATTACTCTCCCCTCCCCCTCCAATCCTTTTGGCACAAATTTAGGAGTCACTCTGTTTTCCCCCTTCCTTCAGCTTTGGAGCATTAATGCATGAGCATTGTGTGCAGGTTTACAGCATTCTTTGTTTCATCAACCGAAGAAGTGGAATGGATCTCTTGTAATGAGTGACGTACATATTTTCACCCTTAACCAGGGTTGGTCGACCCCACCCCAAACCCACCCCATTGTATTCATTCTGCCCCACGGTTTTGTCATTTTTCTTTTTCTTGTGTGTGTCTGTGTTGACTGTGAGGTTGGTGTTGGGACTCTATCTTGGCTTTTGAGACAGGGTTTCTTACTGGCCCTGGGCCTTTCTGATTCCACTCTAACGACTGGTCAGAAATCCCCAGGGACCCTCCTGTCTCTGCCTTCCAGGGCAAGATTACTTGCTTTCTGCTCACTGCACCAGACATATGTATTTACCATGTGGAACTCAGATCATTGTGCAGGCTCATCTCTCTAACTCTACTCTGTTATGTTTGAAGTGTAAATTCTAGTTTTTAAAAGATCGTGCTTCTCAGGGGTCTTTTGTTACCTTTGTGGACGGGTCTCTTTGTTCTTGCTAGCTCTTTTGTGAGAAAGAACCAATTTTGTCTTTTTTCACTTTGTCTTTAGGTTGGTGATTGCAGTGCTGGGCAGGGCCCTGGTTGATTAATTCTCAGGGATGGCAGCCATCAACCCGTGGCCCTCTTGGGGTGAGTCCAAATCTTGATTTTTCTGTACCTTCCGTACAGGGAGTGACCTACTGTCACTATAGGTCAGGGATTGCTGGCTTTGGGAGATAATAGAAGGCCTATTTGTCTTAGTATAAAATTAGAACTGATGAGTGGTTAAGGGGAAATTATCCATAAAAGACAACATAAATTTTGTATAGTTGATGGTCAGCTTCCGAAAAGGGCCTTGATGAGATATTCCAATAATTTATGGGACTCTTTAGATGATAGTCATACAATATACCCAATCAAAATGTTTTTTACTTCTCCTGTGTTTTTCACCTTTATTCTTGCATTTCATGTATATAACATTGATCTGTTTTTAAAAACCATGTTAGTAGTGCTATGTGATTATTTTAGACATCAAGATGCTATTCTGTTGACTGAAGTTTCTGTTTTGCCCATCTCACAGCCAAAGAAACACACAGAAGTTTACATTAATTATAAGCTGGTTGGCCTATTAGCTCAGGCTTCATATTATCTCTTACAGCCTTCATTATCCCATAATGCTTGTCTGTGTTAGCCATGTGATTTGGTTCCTTTTATCAGTGAGGCATTCTCATCTTGCTTCCTCTGTGTTTGCAGACTGAGCCTTTCCTTTTCCCAGAATTCTCCTGTTCTGGTCACCCTGCCTATTTTTCCTGTCTGACTACTGGCCAATCAGCATTTTATTAAACCAATACAAATGACAAATCCTTACAGGGTACAAGACCATTGTCCCACAGCAGTATTCTATGTACATAAAAAATAAGTAATGTTGCATCTTATCAGATACTTATCCAGCCATTTAAAGGATTCTGTTTTTAATAGCCCTGTTGTTAAATCATATGCCATAGGTGCATTTCCTATGCAAATCCAGGTGATGATGGCTTTGTCATATGCCCTTGTGTTACAAAAAAAATCTTTTTGTACACTGTGAAGATGTGCCTTTGCCAAGGTGTCTTCTGATTGGTTTAGTAAAGAGCTGACTGACTGGTAGCTAGGCAGGCCATACAGGTGGGAATGCCAGACAGGACCCTGGGAGGAAGAAGGGTGGAGTCTTGGGAGTCAGAAGAGACCATGAGACTCAGAGTGAGCAGGATGAGAAGTATATACCTGAGGTATGTACTCGGGGCAGCACATAAATTGATAGAAATGGGTTAATTTAAGTTATAAGAACTAGCTAAACAAACTTAAGTTATTGGCCGAGCATTTATAATTAATAAACAATCTCTGAGTGGTTATTCAGGAACTGCTGCTGAGACACAGAAACTCCACCTACACCCTTGGACTCTGTATAGGGCTCTGCCATGCTCGTTTTTTCTTATGTTACCTTTAGTTCCTGGGTTTTGTCACAGTCCTAACCTGAGGTTGCTCTGCAGGTGCCCTTATGGACCAGTCTTGGGGGATGGCGGCTGCTGACACTTCTGCTTCCTGGGGTGAGTCAACAACCTCTGTCCTCAACTGTGCTGTCTGCCATGTAATATCCTCTAGCTTCTGTGATCTGCCATAGCTGGGATTAGAGCTGGTAGTCCAGCTCTCACTCTACGGAGTTAGAATAAAGAGGAATCAGAAAAGAGGACATCTCTAGGACAGATAACATGAGAATTAATGTCTAGACACTTAGGGCTCAGACCCAGAAAGGTTGTGAAAAGTGCTTCCTCAGAGATGGTTCCTCATAGCATAGGAGAGTGGGGAGTCACATGTTGTCACCTTCTCCAAGTCCTATTTCCTTCATCTGTGGGGTGAAGAAGTAGCTTTCTTCCTTATGTAGATGGTAAGAGCAGAGGCAGGGCATAGCCTTCCTCATTTCCATAGAGTCCATGAACTTATGGCAGGAGGAGGTACCTCCATGACTTCTTTTTTGTTTCCTAGCTCTGTGCCCTCAGGATCCAGCATGGCACATAGAGGGAAGCCCTGAGGAGGAAGAAAGAAGGGCAGCTGGGCTCCCAGTAGCTCAAATCCAGGTGAGATAAAATATCTGTTTTTTCTTGCAAGGTCAATGTGTTCCCAAGGATGAGGATCCAGGTTTTCCTTGGCCACCCTAGTTGATGTGATTCCTTGAGAGACAGCAGCAAGAGAATAGGCCAAGGAGTCAGCCAGTTAGCAATTCCTGAATGCAGTAGGGGAATCCAGTTAGTTATCCATGATACAGAGCCTTGCTGTCACTCTGCCTGTCCACAGAGCTAGACACAGCTATGTCATCACTTGTTTTGGGGAAGATGAACCATACCCAGTTTGGCTGGCAGCCCTTATCCCTTTCCTCTCGTTCTTAACTCATTGTGGCCAGAGGTTTCTATCCTGCCCAATCCTGTAGCCATTCAGCCCCAAAGAAACAGAGGTCTACATTAATTATAAACTGGTTGGCCTTTTAGCTCAGGCTTCATATTAGCTCTTAAGCCTACATTAACCCATAATTCTTGTCTGTGTTAGCCATGTATCTTGCATCAGTGAGGCAGTTTCATCTTGCTTCCTCTTTGTCTGGGTGAGGCCTGCAAACTGAGTCTTTCTCTTCCCAGAATTCTCCTGTTCTCATTGCCCCACCTCTACTTCCTGCCTGACCACCCCACCTATACTTCCTGCCTGGCTACTGGCCAGTCAGCATTTTATTAAACCAATACAACTGACAAATCTTTACAGGGTACAAGATCATTGTCCCACAGCAACTCATGTATTCAGAACCAGATTCAGGCTGATGCTGTGTAGTATACTCCGTACTTGCTGTGAGAACAAGAACAGATGTGAACCTTTACCCTGAGGACCTAACAGGCCACTTTCCAAGGTGGTTCACTCAGGTAATGACACTTCACAGCTCCCCTGGGGCTACACACACACTCTGTAGGATATAAGAAGACTGAGACATGGAGGGAAACCCTAAGCCCCACTGCAGCTCAGTTCACTGATGCCTTGGGAGATGAGACAGTCTGCATAGAGGTCAGTAGGGGTGCAGAATTATGGAGGTGGAGGTCACCTTGAATAGGCCAAGAGGTAAAAGGAAGGCATCAGATGGGTGCATCCTGGTAAGCAAGTGTCTGGCCTGCCCGTTGCCCCACAGGTATGCTTGAGAGCTGGGGTGTGCTATATGACTGATGTCTGCATACACACTGATTTTAGGTAGGAGAGGCTAGGAGAGCCCAGGTGGGCCTGCATGCCTGCTGCAGAGCTAGGAGCCTCAGAATTGTCAGCAGGCGGCACTGTGAGCCAGAACATGGCTGGAAAGGTGTGTGGAGTGAAGAGTGTGTGAGAGGCTGCTGCTGTCAGAGGCTTCAGTCTGATCAGGGCCTGGGAGCTGGAGAGGAGAGTTAAAACCAGAGAGATAAGAGGGAGTCCAGCAGGGGCTTTGGGAGCTCCCCAGAGAGGACAGGAGGACAGCAGTGTTGGTATGGCTTAGTGTCACTGCTTCCTTTCTTGCTTAGGCCTTCATCAGAAGCAACCACTTGTCTTTTTTTTCCCTTTCAAAAATTTAATAACTATTGAGATAATATCTACATACTAGAAAGTTGATCTACATACTTAAAAAGTTACACAGTTTATTGGTTTGTAAAATAGTCACAGAATGGCGCTTCCAGCCTCTAATTCTAGAGCATGTTTGTCACCACAAGAAGAAATCTCGTATCTATTAGTAGTCTCTCCCTTTCCCCCTACTTCCAGGCCCTGGCAACCACTAATCAGTTCTCTAACTCTGGATTTGCCCATTCTGAGCTGCCCAGTAGGGGTGCTCGGGTCCAAACGTTGGTCCTCATGATAGAACAGCACGTGTGTGCTTTAGTGCTAGCGTGTGTTTAAATGCTGAGCTGTCTTGCCAGCCTCTATGGATCAGTATGTATTTCAGAATGCCCTAGAGTTTCTTTTCACAATTCAGGTACAGTTGTTTTTTTTTTTTTTTTTTTTTCTTGTTTTTAGTTTCTTAATTTTTGATGTTTCTAAATGATAACTTTTAGAAATTTATTTTTAAAAAATTAATAAATTTGCATTTATTCTATTTACCCCCTGCTATGAAAGGTGGGGAAAAATAGTTTCAATGTTTCGGCCTTATAAGTTAAAATAGTGTAGCAATGAAGCAAGCAAATATGAGCTCCTAAGATATAAAATGTTTTAAAATAATGTCTCTATTAACTTCATGTCTTTCCTCAAATTAAAAAGAAAATAATAAAGCCTCCTACAGTGTCAAAGCTGACAGGTGAGCTGCATTGATGTGTGCTGTCACCACATGGCAGCACCGCTGTCCCCGGGAAGCAGAAGGGCCCGAATGGAGTGGTGCAGGGTGATGGTTATCTGGCATCAGACTCTGCTGGCCAAAGCTCACTGCTGTCACAGTGCGAACATCATTTTCAGATCCTATAACAAAATCCCCAGCAGTGAAGATAGTCTAGGAAGACTAGATGGGTCCCGGGTCAGTGTCAGGGGAACAGAGTTAGCAATAATCAAATGCTGTGAAGAAGCCTGGTTAATCTCTGTGCTGTACTCGATGGTTAACTCTGTGAGAGTTTCTGAAAATGACTAGTTATTGCTGAGAAAAATAAAGCAATTGAAATAACAACACCTTGTAATGTCTGAAGAGTTGTGATTTCTGAGAACATGTTCCTGGCCCCCTTCCCAAATCACGGCTTTGGAATTTTCCCTGTTGGAAACTTGGACTTGAATTTTGAATTGTTTTTGCTTTTTGAGATTGGATTCTCACTGTGTAGTCCTGGTTAGCCTGGAACTTGCCTATGTAGACCAGGCTAATCTTGAACTCATAAGAGATCCTTTCCCTCTGCCTCCCAAGTGCTGGGATGAAAGGCATTTATTACTATGGCCAGCTGTGTCTTCTTAATTAAGCAGGATCTTGAGGAAGGTAGTGGACCTGCTGTCCCCATATAGGTCTTTCCAAGTTAAATAATTATTGAAATAAATATTCACCTGATAGAAACATCACAAGCTGCCATCTCTCAGCTGAATTCATTCTAGGAAATATATCAGTAAAATTTTATCCAGCCAGATTCTAGATACTATTCTTTCAAGGAATAGGGGAAATAATATTAGTGATAATATCATAATATTCCAGTTTGCTTAAAAATAACCTGGGAAGCTGTCCAAATATGGAAATGCTCTCTATACTGATCCACTGAGAATTTCTGCATGACACGGCAAATGAGTGGTATGTACTGATCATGTATGATCATCATGGGTGAAGGGTGACTGTGTGGTTTTTGTTTGTTTGTTTGTTTTCAAAGAGCTTGTGTTAAAATGCTAATAATAGCCAGGGATGGCATGCCTATAATCCCAGCACTTTGGAGGCTAAGGCAGGAGAACTATGAGTTTGAGGCCCTGTCTTAAAAAAGAAGAAAAATAAAGGTTGGGACTGGAGTGTTGGCTCTGCCTACGGAGCACTTACTGCCTCTCAGAGAACCTGAGTGTGTTTCCCAGCGTCCGTGATAGGTGGTTCACAACTATGCGTGACCTCAGCGCCAGAGGGTGATAACCTGCTGTGGATTTGGGGGCACCGCACACCGTGGCATATAGTCACACAGACACACATACATAAATAAAAAAAAATTAGTCCCTAAAAACCAACAAGTGGCAGACTGGTGAGATGGCTCAGCTGATGGAGTGCTTGCAGCCCAATAGTCTGCAGCTGTGCCGTGGCACACACACAGTACTAATACATTAAAAGTATAAAAGAGCCTTGAACAACATATAAATAACGAGAGGTAATTTAGAAAACATTGTGAATGCCACAGGTTCCATGGAGGAGCAAACCCGAGAAGTCCAGGCAGTAACCTTTCTAGGCAGACAGCTAAAACCTAGTTTATCAAACTTAGGTCCGTGGTTTAAATGTGGTGGGTGTGTAAACACATTTGAAGTAGTATGTGCAAGGATGTTTTTAAGGTTTGAGTGAGACACCTGCAGGTCATTCCGCCGTAAGACTGGGCCTGTGAACATTGTGTTTTTCAGCCTTACTCCAGTGCCTCGGGTACGGCTGAACCCTACATTTCCTCCCTGCTCTTGGTGCTGAGGGCTCCATCTCCATAGAAACTGCTGCCTACCACCATCTAGTATCACTTTCAGAAGCTTCTGGGCTTTTCATTTGCAGTCCTAAAGATGTCTGTCTTCTCACTTAACCCTGAGGTGAGCCCTCCTGTGATTTTTGTGACCCCAACCGGTCTGTTCACCAGGAGGACTCACTGTCTTTCCAGGCCTAGTTGGATATTTATTTTTTAATTCTAGATTTTTTTTGGCAAGTTCTGCAATTACAGAAAAGAGTAAAGATGAATAAACAGCTATTTTGGCCAGGTGTGGAGACACGTGCCTTAAATAACAGCACTAGAGAGGCAGAGACAGACAGATCTCAGTGAGTTCAAAGCCTGCCTGGTTTGTGTATTGAACTCCAGGTTAGCCAGGGATACATAGATCCTTTCTCAAGGAACAAATGAAAAACAAACTAAAACCAAACCAAACAAACAAAAAAAACCCTTCCCCAATAAAACCCAATAGTTTTATCATCTCTGCTCTATTCCAATCTTTATGTAGTCCTCTGTGTCAGAGCTGCTGAGCTTGGGTAGATTCCTTGTATACACAGTTCATTTCTATAAGTACAGTGTGTAGGCAATGCAGTCTCTTTTCTTAAAACAATTCGACAAGTAGCTTTGAAAGAGTTTTTTTTTTTTTTTTTTAAACTTCATTTTATGTGTATGGGTGTTTTCTGCCTGCATGCTGTGTGTGCTCCAAGTGCATACAAAGTCTATGGAGGGCAGAGGAGGGCAGCAGATCCCCTAAGACAAGTTACTGGTTCTGAGCTGCCATGTGGAAGCTGGGAGTTGAAACCAGGTCCTGTGCAACAGCAACAAGTGCTGTTAACCCCTGAACCTTCTCTTCAGCCCTACTTTGATAAATTTTGAGGTCTGTTCTCAGTGGTGGACAAACAGGTCAGGTTTGTTTTTTGTCTGTACTACCTTCAGAAAGTTACAGTCTAGATTATTTATGGGTTGCTTCCCCAGCTCTCTACACGGCATCCTTGCCATGTCAGCCTAAACTGTGCCGCTGCTCCTGCTACCTCACTTGGTGTACGTGTGTAACCGCTTTCTTGTGTATGACCCTAGAAGCAGAACTTTACTGGGTCTTGGGATTTAGGTTCTATTTTTCTGATGTTAGTGTCACCATGCTGGTCTCTAAAGACTGAAGGCACTGCTCAGTATCCAGTTTGGGAGAAATACACCTATTTTCTCAAACCTTTGGTAATGTGTAGCATCAAGTTTTATTATTGTGATGATGAGGATGATGATCGCGAGTTCAGAAAGGTACATGGCATTACTTTAGTTTGGATGTATTGGATTGCTTGTGAGGCTGGTATCTATTTCCATCCTTTTGCCTCATTCTCCTTAACTCCCAGATTTCTAGCGACATCCTTCTCTACATGCATTCTGGGTCCTGAGTATATACGGACAATCATATATAAGATAACACGAGTTATCTTCTGTTTGTCTTATCTCTTGCCAGTTAAAATGATTACTGATATTTTGTCAAATATATGTGTTTGTTCATGGCTTATGGCTTTGCATCTTTTAAGATACCTTGTAGTCTTTTAAAAAGTAGTTCTGGCCTTTATATTCTTTCTGAGGTCTTCTGCTGGATATTGAGTTTCTTAGATAAACTAGCTGCCAGACTTTCTTCCTATGGATCATGCTCTTTGTAGAGCTGGGAGCCCAGGAATCTCTGCCCCCACTGAATTCTTTGTATCCACTCATTTCTGGCCCGTCTTTTCTTCACAGCCCATGTGAAGAAAAACTTCTTTTCTAAAACAGCCTGACCTGAA